AAGTTGGAAACTTCCAAAATTAAAATTGGGACCATCCGAACCCCAATTTCAACAAACTTATAATCGAATTGAACGTCTCAAGAATACGAGCCCAATGACACCAAATTCGACTCAATCCGAGCCTGAATAGGTCCAAATCAAGGGTCTGAAGGGCTGTTGAAGGGTTCAAACCACAATTTGGATTACCAAATGGTTTCCAAACATGACATGCTTATAGTCGAATCGAGCGACTCGACGAGACAAAACCAACGAGCCCAAGATCATTGAATTCTGAAATCGCTAAGGCATCCAATTGACCAATAAACGATCCATGATCAAGGGGATTGATATCAGCCGTCCATTCAAACCACTCCCATTTTGACCTTGATCCTCCATATATTTACAAGTCATGTCACTCTTAAAAAACTATAAATAGCCCCCACTCTTCTCATGAGAGAGGGGGAAGAAGAAGGAAAGGAAGTGATGAGTTTGGGAGCTCTCTTGCCATTGACCACCACCGGAGTTCTTGTAAACCACCGCTAGGGTTCCTCCTGACCACTGCCGGAGTTCTTGTCGACCACGACCGAGGTTCCTCCCGACCACCCTTGGAGTTCTTGCCAGCCATTGCCGGATTTTCTTCCCGATCGTTGCTAAAGTTCTTTCCGACTGTGGCCGGAGTTTCTTCCAGACCGTCGCCAAACTTTCTCTTCCCGATTACTACCGGAGTTTTCTTATGGACCATCACTGAAGCTCTTCCCAATCACTGTCTTTTTGGCTGATTCATCAATCATCGCCATATTTCTGACTGATTATTAACATGTTGTAATTCCAGCATCCCTAAGTAAATGAACGAATCAAACTTTGTAGCCAACCCAGACATAGTGGAAATTTTTCTTCTGGGCCAGGCCCTGTGGTTTTTCCCTTTTCGGGTTTTCCACGTAAAAAAATTTCTGATTTTTCTCTCCCTTATTTATCTATTGGTGTGCTGGATATAAGTATATTGCTAAAATGTTATATTTTTCACTTTATCGCCGCGTATATTCTTGTCCGCAACAATAGGTACAAGAATCCTTATCTGATTAAATTAAAAAGATTATCATAATTTGATATTTTAGATTACTTTATCTGATCAAAGACTTATGTGATATAGCTTTTATGTAATTTTATTCGGACAATATTAATTTTATAAAATTTATAAAAATTTGTTCCATATCATTTCTTGCTTACAATAATCATTATATCATTTTAACTTAAATAAAATTTGAAAATTTGACTTTATGTAACTCATAATGCATACAGTTGGAGAAATATGACAGAAAGTTTTTTTTTTTTTAATTTAATTACCTCTTTGAAGGATAATCACTTGTATTCACAGACGCATTGGACTTAAAAATCATTCAAAATTTGTTCGAAAAATTTTGAATTTGAATCTAGTTTGAACAAATGATCAAACCTTGTATCGAATTTGAATTCATGAACTTTGCTGCTTCACACAACATCGGATTGTAGATTCATGGCACTAGTGACTATGTCACAAACTTCTATTTTCTTCAAACGCTACTCATCCAGCAAAAATTTGTCATGGACCCCTCTCCTCTTGCACATGTCGCAAGTCCATCTTGCTCTCCCCCAATGACCTCACTAGCTATGAGCTCGTCTTCTTCTTTACACATTGTTAGTCTATTAATATATTTGTCTCGACTCAACACAATATAGCCCATATATCCTAACATGTTATATTAGGCCATATACGAGATAAAAGGGTTGCCCAAAATCAAATTGGAGAGAAATTTTTTTATCATCCAATTCAATGACAGAAACCACTAAAATTATCCAAATATAAACATAGAGCAAAACTTCATTTAGTATAATACATATCTCAAATCTATTCATATCAAAATGTTTTATACATTAACCATGATTTCTTCTAATAATCACATTAAAATACAATTGTCCCATATTTGCAAAAGAATTTATCTATACTATAAGAAGAAAATACCTCTAACAGAAACCTTGATCTCACTCCACTAGCGCATTACTCTTGCCTTAAATATGTAAACACATAGAATTAGAGAACATCTTAGAAGATTACATGGAATATACAACTATATTCAATGAATAATAAAGCCACTAAAATCATCAACATATATAAATAAATTAGAACTTCATTCAGTGCGTATACATATCTCAAATATATTCATATCAAAACATTATTACATAATAACCAAGATTGTTCTAACAATCCCATTAAATACAGTTGTCTCATATTTGCATAATAATTCATCTATAATATAAGAAGAAAATACCTTTAACTAGAACTTCGATCTTAGTCCACTGAGCTATTAACATTTCTTGAAATATGTAAATTAAACATATAGAATTAGTAAATAGCTTAGTAGATAGATGGAACCTACAGTTATATTCAATGCAAAAAAATTATGCTTGCTATTAATTAATGAATCATGAATACTAAATAGGGACTAAATGACTAAATCTCCATGCTACTCATGTATAAGTATCCTATACAGTGCTATCATGACAAAACTATAATTTCTCAGCAACATTGAAAGTGTGATTATAATTATCAATTTAATATCACATATCATGTGCGGCATAATGTTATATCAGAATCTATTCAATGATGAATATTATGCATGACATAATTCGTATCATATAAATGGCACTTTAGTTGTTTTGACTAATATGATTATTTTAGATTATATGTTCATGAATATTAATATACCATATATAGCAGTTCTTGCTATCATGTGTCATAATAGTCAACTCATATTATCATGATTACTAATATGTTATCATATAGTATTCACTATGTACAAGTATCGTATCATATAGTATTCATTGTGCACAATATGATACTATATCATAATAGTAGAAACAATCATCACGAAAAATGGTGTAACATAATATGAATTATGACGAACAACTCAAATCATCATATATAATAGAACATTATTAATATAATTTATATTACAATTCAGGTATCAAGAATAATCAAGTTGTGTGTGGTATTTTTTACTATACAATATTATATCTCATACAATATCATATTATATCATGTCATATTAGTAAAAATAATTAGGTAACATCATATACAAAACTTGTTACCCTGAGCTCATTATAAATCATAATTATATCATATCCCCTTATGCCTTCCATCATTTATTGAGTCACATCACTAACCCCATGTTTAAAAAAAAATCGTTATCTCACCCTCCTAAATAGTGTGTTATATCTCTGCCAACATGAATCATATAATAGTCAGCTTTTCTTATCTACATATATATATATACCCCATATTCAAGATCCAATTTATTATATCAATTTCTTGTGCATGTAAAATGACTTGTAAATCAATATAAAGATGTTCATAAGATAATGCAATATGCTCATTTTCAGTTATAATCTCAATATATAAATCGTAGAAGGTGTGCATGCTTTAACAATATGGGTCATATTAGCTATACATGTCATGTTAATCGTAACAGGTGTGAATGTTGCTAGTCCATCATTTATTTTTTTCAAGATCGAATGAAATAATAATTTATCATTTTCTTAATATATTTATCTTGATTTTGGAGATTATGCCTCAAATGTCAAAAATGCCTCATGAAAATTCAATATAATCATATTAATAGGTGCAGAATGAGCAGGTGTATAACATACTAAAAGTTACAAGATAAAAATTTAGCAAATTATTAAGATATTATAAATTTTGTAAGTTTTGACCAAATTAAAATCGATGAATCATTAAAATTACAAAATCATTAAAATGAAATATAGGATAACGTTAGTTTACTTTAAGATTAACAATTTTCTAATGGATTTGATGGATGAAATAGGCCCAAACACTCTCTCTTCCTCGTCCTCTTCCTTATCTTCCTTATCTCCTTCTCTTTCTTTTTCCAGCCAAATGAATGAATGAAATGAGTTTTAGATTTTAATAAGTTTTGATAATAGTTTTATATATTTTTATAAATTTTGACCTATTACGGCGGCGCTAAATTGGGATTTGATTAGGAAGCTTTTTCCTTTGTTGTTTTGTTTCAAATCTATAAATTGAGGGTTTTGAGGGCTTTTGCATGAGATGAAGAGAGAAAGTCTGAGAGTTATTGTAATTCCCTATTGTTCTACAATATAGTGATATCATCCTCCTTTCCCCATAGGCATAGGCATCTTCTCCGAGCCACATAAATTATCGTGTTTATTGTGTTTGTGTTGTGTGATTTTGTTTATGCTGTAATTGTTTGCACTTGTTTTCGTTGTAATTGTTTGCACAACACAGCACTCCTAAGGATAAATTCTCAGGCATGCAAGAATTTTTTTATAAAACTTAAATAACTTAAGATTTTATATCATGTCCTTATCAGATTACTACATGCAATATAGTTACTGCAGAAGAGGAAATTACAGTTTGCCCTTCCTAACCCTATCATGAACTCCTCCTTTGCAAATTGTCGGTTCGTCACCTAGAGCAGCCAATCACAAACTTCTTTCCTCCTTCACATGGTGCTTCACACACCATTAGTTTGTCAATGCTCATCAATGACTATCCGAGTGAGCCCTCATCATGAAATTCATCGAGTTCTCATGCATGTCTATAAGAATCGATTTGAATATCGACTTTTCTAATGATCATATCGAGCCAACGTTCGAACGAACATCAAACCCAACATGAATGCGAATGCCATTTGTGAGATCATAACATATTTGAATTGTTTGAACCATTTAATAAGTACTATCCTAAGTTCCTAACTTAATTAACATTTAAAAAAAAATAAATCTCAAATAATTTTTTGTATAAATATATTCCTTGGTAGAAAAAATTTGCCACCTGGTAAACGGAAGCGAAGGAAAACCAGGTTGGACACTTGGACCCACTTCGGTATCAAAAAAAATGCAGCGAGGCAGAATCAACCGTTTGATCAAATCGGACGGCTTAGAACGCCTAAACTTGCGTCGCACGCCACCTCCTGCTTCCTACTGATGTAGCTATTCGGCTCTACTTCCGCGAAGTATCCAGCGCTCCATCGCCCTTTGTCTGGCTCTCGCACGCTTCTCATCGCAATCTTCGCCTTTGCCTGTTCTCCTAACTCCGGCACCCTTAAGACTAGGTTGTTCAAGAATTAATAGAGGGAAAGAGCCACCTGCCTTCACAAAATTTTGGTCCTAGCTGATCGATTATGGCGACGCTTGAGGTTATCCCTCTTGAATCGCTGCCCTTAGGGTTTCGCTTCCGTCCTACCGACGAGGAGCTTCTGAGCCATTACTTGAAGCGTAAGATTAACGGTAGGATCAAAGCTGATAGCGCCGTCATCCCCGAGGTCGATGTCTGCAAGTATGAACCTTGGGACCTCCCTGGTACTTCTCTCTCTCTCTCTCTCTCTCTCTCTCTCTCTCCTCAGCGGGAAATTTAAGAAAAGAACTACTTTTTTTAAGGCCCGCCTTGCTGATTGTTGTTCTTTTCGTTGTTCAGAAAAATCGATAATAAAATCTGGGGATCCTGAATGGTTTTTCTTCGCTCCAAAGGATCGCAAGTACCCGAACGGCCAGCGCTCGAACCGGGCCACGGAAGCCGGCTACTGGAAGGCCACGGGGAAGGACAGACCTATCAGGACGCGCGCGCCGTCGTCCATGCCCATTGGTATGAAGAAGACTCTTGTCTTCTACCGCGGCCGCGCCCCAAAGGGGGAGCGCACCGGCTGGATTATCCACGAGTATCGCACTGTGGAGCCGGAATTCGATAAGGTGCGTTCCGGTCTTTTCTTTAGTTTTCTCTTATTATTCAAGCTCCCTTATCGAGGAAATTTTTTAGTTTGACTTTCATTTGATGTTCCCAGACTTATTTTGTTTTGGAATTATGGTCATCAGAAGCGATTGTAGTTGCATCTGAGTTTGTTGGGAAATTTCGTTATAAGAAAGAGTTCAGATTGTTCTAATATGTGGAAATTCCTTTTTTTTTTCTTCTTATTTGATTAATGTTAAAAACTAAAATTGCTTATTTTTATTTGAGGGAAGAGAAAAAGCGCATGCATTGTTATTCGCTTAGGTTTCTACCATTCTTACACAGCTACTATTTTTGGAATGCTTGCTTCTTGCCTGAAGAGACTTTCTATGCTGAAAAACCACTTGAGTTTCAGTAATAAATGTCTTGTTGATTTTGTAATCATATTTAGTAATCTGCAATAATTATGTTCCATGTCTGATTGATTTGGTTAGGCTTTGTTTTATCACTTGCTCTTGGTTACAATCTTATCATTATCATCATTTTCATCATCTGGATTCTTAGTTCTACCAAATGGTTCATCCTTTATTTGTGATTACCCATAATGTTCTTTTTGATAAAAGATATTTTTGGGCTTTACTTATAATCATATTGTTACGGGCTAGGATATACACGGCGATAGAGTTACAAAATTTGTCTTAGCGTTGTACGGATATCCAACACACGAACAAAGCAAAAAAGGAATAACAAAATTTTTACGTTGAAAACCCTGGAAAGAGAAAAATCATAGGGTCACGCCCAATTGAAAGGATTTCACTAGTGTTTGTTTAAGTTACAAGTGGCTGAGTCGTCTATGAAATTGAGGACGATTATATGAAAACTCTCGGGTTGAAGAACTCTGACGTCAGGTAGCCTGCGGGCATAACTCCAGCGTTGGTTAGCTGCCGGGAAATGTCCGCCGGTGGTCGAGGAGGAGTCTCTTTCTTCTCTTTTTCCTTCTCTTCTCTTTTTGCTTGAGGACCTTCCCCCTCTTTCAGGTCCCCTACTATGAGAAATGAGGGGTATATTTATAGTTTTCTGAGAGTAGTATGACCAGTAAATATGAGAAAGATCATGGGTAAATTGAGAGTGGTTTGAATGGACGGCCGATGTTGAATCCCTTGATCATGGACCGTTTATTAACCATTTGAATGTTAGAATGATATCAGAATTCGGCGATATTGGGGTCGTTGGATTTGTCTCGTCGAGCTGCTCGATTCGACTATAAGCATGTCATGTTTGGAAACTGTTTGGTAATCCTAATTATGGTTTAAACCTTCCAAATGTGCTTCGGTCTTTGATTTGGACCAATTTGAGCTTGGATTGGATCAAATTTGGTGTCGTTAGGTTCGTATTTCGGAGACGTTCAGTTCAACTATAAGTTTGTTGAAATCGGAGTTTAGATGGTGCTGGATTTAATTTTTCAAGTTTCCAACTAGATTCTGCCTTTAGATTCGTGCCCAATCAATATAATTTTTCGATGATATATTGCATATAAATAGGAGAAAAGCTTTAGTAGAGGAAAAATGAACGTAGGAAACAAATAGTTGAATTGTATTATTAACAATAACTAGCATTTTGAAGTTTATAGTGGCCTTTTCTGCAATAAGAAACGCTTCCTATTTGGACAATTTTTGTCTCTACTTGGTTTCTTGTACTTGATGTCTTATCTACGTGTGTTTCATTCTAGGGAAATTTACATACATACCACTTTATAACATCCTATTTACATATCTAACACCTAAAATTTTAATATTACATCCATACCACCCTATATTATTTTAATATCAAATATACCACTTATATTTCTTTCCTACCACTCATATATTTTATTTCTACCACTCATATTTTGTATGAAAATGAACTATGGGTGGTATTTATGTAATATTAAAGTTTTAGGTGTTAAATATATAAATAGAATAGTATTAAGTGGTATGTATGTAAAACTCCCTTAATTCTATTACACACCCCTTTCTAGAAGATTTTTCTCTGCTAGATGTTTTCTATTTGCATAATGTGTAGATGATGATAAAGCAATAACAAGGTTGCCTCATGTGAACTGTAGATCCCAAATTTGAACTTCATAACCTCTTTGTAGCGCATGAATTAAACTACTTTTAGTTATATCTTTCCGTGGTAGCTTTTGTTGGTGCCTCATGCACTTGGTACTCCCTTCTCTTTAGTGGACGATATATGAGAGATCATGGCATGCATTTTTTAATGTATATATCAATTTTAGTTGCAAGAGAACTTTTCAGGATGACTTCTTGATGCGATCAAGGTGCTGTTTGGAATTCCTATGTGCTGTTTGCTATTTCCTAGGTGTTGTAAGTGTTGATTATACTTCCTTGTTTGCTGTTTGGAATTCCTATGTGCTGTTTGGAATTCCTAAGTGCTGTTTGCTATTTCCTAGGTGTTGTATGTGCTGATTATACTTCCTTGTTTGTCGTTTAGACTTCCCTATATGTTGTTTGCTACGATTTTCCCCCTCTTGGCTGCTGCCCCTTGGGTTTGTTGCTGTTTTTCAGTGTTTCTAGTGACCGAATAAAAGGTGTATTTATTTCCTGCATTTATTGCCTTTTCCCTATGTATAGGGGCTGTTTGCTGCTGTTTTAGAGAGGTTTTAGAAAATGAAAATGTTTGGAATGTAAAAACCTGCTGGTTTTTTTTAGCTTGTGAGTTAAGTCTTTTTTCCCCTTCTCCTCTTATATTTCGTCTTTTGGACTTCTAACCTCTTCTTCTCTATCAATGGTTCCCGCCTCACTTGTATCCTTCTTCTCTAAATTAATACAAGTTATATGGTTGTAAGTTTGTTATGTTTATGTTTTAAGGAAGACGTTTAACTTTTGCAATCCTAAAGTTTGTTTGTTTTTTTTTTTTATTTATTGCATTACTTCTGAGAATGTTCATGTTTTACAGGGTGGTTTCGTACTTTGTCGATTGTTTAAAAAGCCTGAAGAGAACATCGGAACTTCCAATGCTGACAAAATCGATGGCAGCAACCTTTCTCCTGATATAATCTGGTCCTCTCCAGATACCACGGCACAGGGTGATGATGCTTTGTATGAAACTACCCCACTGCATCAGGAAATTGTACCCCTCAATTGGCCTGAAACAGTTGATGAGTCGATGACAAAATCGGAGGAAACATATAGCTATAGCGATATCACAGCAGATATTGGTGCTAGTGGTATTTATATGGATAATTTGAAGGTGAGCAAATCTACTTTAAGGTTTTTAATCATCAATTGGAAGAGTATTCCTATTAATTATTCTTTCATTCTTACCAATATCTTGCAAAAACTTGCTTTTATTGCTTAATTTTTATCATTTTTTTTGTTGTATCTTTCTCATTAAGCATTTTCTTTTCTAATTTTAAATTCAGGATGACCCCGATCCAAGCAATTTAAGCAGCTTAAATATTGGATTCGAGCAGAACGATTCTGATTTATTTTACTACAATTCTCCTTCAGACATGAGTTACCTACATTTTGATGATAATGGTGTTGGTGCATTCTTAAAAGATGAAGATGATGAAGTTGCTAAATTATTAGATTCCATACTTGTTTCAGATGAAGAATGTCTGCCTGAATTTTACAAGTTTCTGGGAAATACTACGGAAGCTGTGCCATCTGCTCAAGTTGGCCTTATTAAACAAGAGACTTTCTTGGATAATACATCTGGCATTGACATTATAATTGGGGATAATGCGGATGTTGAAGTTCTACTGCCACATGTATGGGTTTTTCAGTGAGCTCAATCTTTTGTAGCTTGTATTATTTTTTTCCCTGTTAGTTCTATTGTTCTTCTAATTCTAATCTGACTTAATTTCTTCCTTTTTTTTTCTCAATTGTCTGCTACAGGACGCCCCTGGTTTGGCAGCTTCTTACCAAATGAGTGGGTCAATAAGCCCATCAAGTCATTTTATGCCTCTTACTTCTAACTCATACAATGTATTAGGAACTCAGTTTGATTCTTTCATCAAAAACTCTACAGCAAATGAACTTCAATCCATGGCTTCCTTTAATGGAAATGCCATGTTTGAGGGTCTTGAAGCATCAGAGACTCTATCTAGCGCTGCGGATCTTTCTCAAGATCTGTTTAAAAATGAGCCTAATCCTTCTGGTGAGGACAATTCCACCGGTATCGGAATTAAGCTTAGGTCTTCTAGGAAACGGACTTCAGGAAATCCAAATCAACTGGGAAGTCAGGGCATGGCAGCTCATGGTAATGCATTTAGGAGGATCCGGCTGCAAACTTCATTACGTGTCGGATCAACCGCGCTTACCAATCGGAATTCAAGTAGTTCTAATGGAGATCATGATGAGAAAGCTAAGATATCTGAGGTGAGATATTCATTTCAATCTAAACCTGCATTTATTTTTCTGATATAGCTTAAGATATCATGTATCATACCATTTCTCACAATTTAATTTCTACATGCAGTGCGGAAATAATGCAGAATTTGAAATACCAAAAATGGCTTATTGTGGGCCCTCTGAGAACGGTAAAATAACAATTATTATTGTGGATGAACACTTTATTACTTGCCTGCCCCTTGCTAACTCGACTTCATTGCCTTGCAGAGGATGCTGCGTCGCCTATAGAGAGAAAGCTTACCAGCTCCAACAACTCCCAAACACCCGACGCTGTACTCAGATTGAGAACTAAGGAGCCTAATTACCTTTACGCTAAGCCAGAAGGTACTTCAAAGGAAGCACCTAAAGCTGCTTCAATTAATTTTGGTAGAGTAACTGTGGTGTTGCCAGTTATCCTTTGTGTTTTGTGCATCGGAATTGGTTGGTTCTTTAGCTATCGGTAGCAAGATATGGACCTGAGTTATTCAACCTCTCTTGGTAGCTTTTTCTTGTAAATATATAACAACAGGTTCCTGAGTGTTTAGGAGCGCATTTTTCTGGATTATTTAAGCTTTTAAGTGCTGGAGAAGTCAGATTTGACCGTTGGATATCCCTTCAGTTGATTCCATTTTCCAGTTTTGATGGTTCTGCGGCCTCAACCGAGTATAGGTAGCATTTGTCTTTGCTTGTGCGCTTTGAGCCCCAGTGCTCTTCGATAGAACCAACCCCTCCGAACGAATCCGGATTCCGCACGTAATAATTTTCCTATGATGTGAGCATGCCTGGAAGGGATATGAGCTAAAATTGTTAAGGCATATGATTATTGAATTCAAATTTATCTGCGATAATAACCAAATTTTATTGACAAAAAAGATTGAAATTAGAGAATAGAAAGAAAAGGGGAGAAGAAGTGATATGAAGAGAATGTTTGTTATTAGTATTTGATCTAGTTTTATATGTTGGTTTTAGTTTTTTATTATTTTTCATTTTAGATATTGTTTTGTATAGCTGAATGTATAGTCTTAGCTTATAAATAGAATTTATGATTACTAGTTGATTGGGCTGTATTCTCAAGAACAAATCAATAAAGTTATGTGAGCTCTCTTCCTTTCTCCCACTTCTCTTCCTGTAGGGTTTCTCAAGAACAAAATAATACAGTTGATTGTGCAATCAACTTTAGTGTGCTTCTTTAAAGTATTTAATTTATAAATTTGATGGTGAGTTTGCGCTCGATCACAACCTCAAAAACCTTCTGTAATAGAACCAGTTTTTAATATGTTGTTTAAGCAATTTGAGGACCTCAAAAGATGCTATTCATCTTAACCATTGAGCCACGGCTCAGTCCGCAAGTTTACTGAAGTTAATTGCAGCTTTCTGAAATTTAATGAAAGGCTTCTTCTCCTACTTATTCAAGACAGCTCTCTTACTATATTTTCATGTCTATGAATGGCCAGTTTTGGCAATTGGGATTACTGTAGTTGACAAAGTCTGTAATTTCCTATTTTGATGGTTCTATTTGACAAGTTAGGTGGTCTTAGACTCTTAAAGGTCTGTTTGGGACAGTTTTTTTTTTGACCGTTTTGTTTTTTATATAATAATTATAATTTTGTTTGGCTACTATTTTTTGGTTATTTTCTTTTTTTTTTTCTAAAATTTATATGAAAAATTATTTTATACAACCATTGGAGTGGAGGTATCATAACCAACTTTTATCAAATGTTATAGACATCCTAACAGATTTTTAGGGGCTATTTGGTTGGTTATAAATAAAGTTGGTGTAAATATTTCAAATATAGAGGTTTTTGAAAATATTGATGTTTAATTGGATGAAAAAGGAATGCGTAAAGTAAATTAAATGTAAATTTTTTTTGTTCATTTTTCAGGTAAATCAAAATCATTCAATTTTGAGAAGAATTCTTTATACTGCAAGCAAGCTCACTTGACATACGCCACCACTCATCGGCCACTCGTTGCACGCTACCATCGGTAAAAAATGGGCTATTACACCATCATTGTTGACTACAATCACCACTAGCTGCCACCATTTGTCGGCCACTACCCTTGGGCTATTACACCATCATTGTTGACTACAATCACCACTAGCTGCCACCATTTGCCGGCCACTACCCTTGTCAGCTATCTCCACCAATGGCAGGCCAACATTTCCTCCACTCGGGGCCACCATCATTGTCACCCACCGTCCACCACCTATCAGACATCACTACCCAATGCCATAGACCAAAGTCGCAGACCACCATCGCTACCCACTGTCAACAGGCACCCACTGTCGGCCACCATAGCCACCAACCATTGTTGACCACCACCGCATGTCATCTCTACCCATTGTCGGTAGCGGACCCTTGCCAACCACCATCACCGTCTGTGATGATCACCACTATTTTTATGCTACATTTATTTTACTTTCAAATCAAATAAAAAAAAACATTTCTCTTCATTTATTTTGTACTTATCCAAACTACTTCAATATATATATATATATATATATATATTACACTGAGAGACTGCTCTGGTGAAGTTGGAGATTTTCCTTTTTCAGTGAGGACTCAAGCATGCACGAGTAAATTTTTTTAAAGTTTCTATCATATATCATATATTAGAGTATTTTGACAGAGGTCTAATACAAAGGTAGATAGAGTATAATATAATGTGTTTTGATGCTTATTAAAATATATGTGTGAACAACATTTTGGCCTTTGTTCAAACTATGATCTAGAGGTTCAAGGGTATCAAAGGCTATGTTTAAGCAATTTGAGGACCTCAAAAGATGCTATTCATTTTGACAGAGGTCCTTCCAACCTCAATCACTTGTTAAAAATTATCTGTCAACCACTGTTGCCCGTTAACGATCCTTCCAACCTCTTTCTCTCATCGACTATGGTCCCTCTGACCACTATCGCATGATAATAGTCTCTTTAATCTTCATCTTCCTCTGACTACGGTCCTTCTAATCTTTTGCCAAACTATGGTTCTCTCGATCACTTTAGCCTGCTAACTACGATTCCTCTAACCACGATCGCACAATAACGGTTCCTCTAACCTCTGTCGCACGCTGATTATGGTTCGTCTAACCTTCATCTCCCACCGACCATGATCCCCCTAATTCGTTTCCTGACAACGATCCATTCGAGCTACGTCGCTTGACAATGATCCTTCTGACCTCCGTCTCTAGTTGACTATGGTCCTCCTGGCTTTCGTCGCTCACCGACTATGGTTCATCTGATCTAAGTCACCCGACTACAATCATTGACCTCTTGACTCAACTATGGTCTTACCAACCAAATGAACATACCAATATTCTCTTGAGAACGTCTCTCATGTCAATGGATTCTTCAAACTCCAACTATGTAACGTTCATTATATGATGTATATTTGTTACATTGAGCAAATGCCCCCCCCCGGAAAGGCATCCTTTGTAACCAATGATCAATACGACTAAACTCATTTTAACGGGGTCATGCCTCTTGGTTTTTTCATTTCTTGGGTTTTCCATGTTCCATGTAAAAACGTTGGTCTCTTATGATTGTTGAATCACTTTCTCTTATCTATATGTATGTTGGATCTTCGCTCAAAGCTAAGACATTAAGTTATTTTTTTTTCTCTACCACCATGAATGTTTTGGTATGCAACAATTATAATTCAAACAATTATTATAATAAAATGATAAAAAGAACATGAAATTAGAATAAACGTAATAAAAAATCACTTAATATACAAAAGTGAAATATAAGTTTTAAACATTTTTAACAACTTTGGCTTAAAATCTTGAATGTTAATATATTTTAAGCGTGTTTTATATTAATATTTTTTTAAAAAACAATTTGACTAGTGAGCTAATGAATCAAGTCAAGGTTGGCTCAAGCTCAAATCATTAGCTCATCAATTCAGGTCATGGGCCATTTATGAAGCTAAGTCTAAGCTAGCTCATAAGTCAGCTTGACTCATTTACACCCATAATAAGAATATTTGACATGAAACTTCGAACAAAGTTCATTCAATTTTAATTCAATCAAAGCTTGAATTTGTTAAACAACGTATTATGATATTGTAGAATGTAATATTGACACATCATCAAAAAGATTATCTTGATCTGGCACGAATCTTGAGGCAAAATTAAGTTGGAAACTTTCAAAATTAAAATTGGGATCACCCAAACATTAATTTCAGCAAACTTAAGGTCAAACTAATAGTCTCAAAAATACAAACCCAACGACACCAAATTCGACTCAATCCGAGCCGAAATGAGTTCAAATTAAGGACCCTAAGCATTGTTATAATGTTTAAACCACAATTTTGATTACCAAATGGTTTCCAAATGTGACATGCTTATAGCCGAATCAAGCGGCTTGACGAGACAAATCCAATGAGCCAAGATTACTGAATTCATATATCACTAAGACATTCAAATGTCCAATAAACGGTCCATGATCAAGGGAATCAACATCGGCTGTCCATACAAACCACTCCCAAAATACTCTTGATCTTTCTCTTATTTAAGGACCATGTCACTCTAGAAAATCTATAAATAAAGCCCCCATTTATCATGAAAAGGGCCCCAAGCCAAAGGAAGAGAAGTAAGAGAGAGATCAAAGATCGCTCTTGCCTCCTCGCTCCTCCTCGACCACTGCTCCGAGTTCCGCCAGAACACCACTTGACGACGAAGTTCTGTCGGACCACTACCTGAAAGCCAGAGTTTTTTGCCGGACAACCACTTGATGTCGGAGTTCTATCGGACAACCACTTAATGCCAGAGTTCGCTAGACCACCGCCCGACTCCGGAGTTTTTCTACTACCGTCCGACGCTAGAGTTTTGCTGGACCACGCCCAACGCCGAAGTTCTGATGAACCACTGCCTGACGTCGAAGTTTTATTTGACCACCAAGTGACGTCTGGACTTCTGTCGAACCATAGCCTGACGTCGGACTTTCGTCGTACCACTGACTAACGTCTTGACTTCCGTTGGTCGGACATTTGCCGGACCACCAAGTGACGCCGGACTTTCATCTAACCCCCGTTTGTCACTAGACTTCAGCCATACGGTTGACATTTGTAATCTGATCGACCTTAAGGACAAGTCAGCCTAATGTACTCTACCCAAGTTCTAGTGAAATTATTTTCAACTGGGCTAGGCCCTGTGGTTTTTACCCTTTCCAGGATTTTCCACGTAAAAAATCTTGTATTATCTATGAGTGAGCTAGATATTTGTACAAGGCTAAGACGTAAAATTATAACTCTATTATCGCGTATATGCTAGCCCGCAACAAATACCAAAAGTTAACACAATAAATCATATACAATAAGGGATACAATTTGAATAAGAGTATTATATTAAATTAAAATAATTAATACATTTTCAAGTGTATTGTTTATTACAATTACAATAACTATAACACATCTATATCACTATATCTATATCACTCTATCTATATCACTATAGTCGACCTGGCAACCCAACCCGAAAAATGTTGGTTCGAATTGACTCTAATAAATGGGTTGAGATCAAGTTAGGTTTTTCCAACACGTTTATTAAATGAGTCGAGTTCAAGTTAGCATGCAAAAAGCCATTTTTTAACCAAAAATGACCTGTTTCATGTTTCTTTCCTTAATTTTTTTATTTTCTAATTTTTCAAATCAAATATATTAAATTTTATTGTTAATAAGTTATAACTTTTTTAAACCAAAACATGTTAACCGGCCTGGTTCGAGCCATTCGGGTTGCTAGTGAGTCGATTCAAGTTGATATATTTGACTTATTTATTAAAAGGATTAGATTCGGGTTAACTGAATTTTTATCATATTAATTTTGAGTAGGACCCATTCCTGACCCGTCAACTCATTTTACCCCTAATTACTATAAAGTATCCAAATCTAATCACATGCAGATAATACGAGCTCATGAAGATCATTAGGATTGAAGTTTTTATTATTCAAAGCTTGATCAAAACTTATTTTGAAGATTGAACAAATTTTTCTGTAACCTTCATTACACAAAATTCAATACATGATTTAAAATTCATCGATGATTACAAATATACTTCAAAACATTTTGAGTAATAATTGAAGAAAGAAATATAGTGTAAATAGAAGTCAGTAGA